GAAATATATTTTTGATTCTATAAATGTCATAGTATAATAAAGTAAATTTTTTTTGTAATTAGGGTAGTTCTAAAGTTAAGATATTTAGTATAAAAGTATAGAAATATATGCTTTTACTATTCAGAGAAAGAAAAATTGTATTTTTGAAACACTAGGAATCTTAGAAATACACTTCAAAAAGAATTGGGATTATATGAAAATCATTTTTATATTTATACACATTATTCAGTGAAGAAATGTGATAATTTTTTAACTTTAGGAAGATGATAGTGTAATTCAAAATCATTAAAGGCTATCCAGATATATTAATTCTCACATAAAAAGAAAATAAAAGAAAGGATTGAAAATGTGCCTGAAAATAAATAAAAGCAAAAATCAAAAGAAAAAGAAAAGAAAAAAGAAAAATATATGGGGAGAAGCTTGAGAAGATGACTAATTAAAAATTGGCTCACTTGAATTATCTTAAAGGAAAGTATCGTTTCTAGTAGAGTTCTCATATAATTCTTTCCTCTTAATTTTTATAAGATTCCTAAGTCTAACAAATTGCAATTATTTTTGAAATGAATAGAAAATCAGAATTCCTAACTTTGTTACTATATATTCTTATAATTTAGTTCAAACCTGAGTTATTGAAAATTTTTATAAAAAGTTTCACTATCACATTTATGGGGCAAAGCTATAGGAATCTTTAAGTGAAACACACTTTCATAAGTTATAATATTTGGGTTATATAGTAAAAGGGTTACTTGAGGACAAGTAACGTTTAAGTTTGAGGTAATTAACACACCTTAAAATTACTTAATTTTATATGTACATTTTATACTCATTTTTAAGGATATTGTGCTTTAATGAAATATATTTTGTGTGTTTTGGGTTCATGTGCAAGAAATGGAGTTTAAGAAAAAAAAGGAGAAGAAATGGACCAAAATGGAGCAAAATAGGTCAAAATGAACAAAAATTGACCTGGTGCCTAGGAGTCAGGAGTTCTAGAAGGCCAGCTCCATGGTGCCACAGTTGGGCACTTAAGCGCACCTAGGCGCCAGAAAGGGTTAGGCTTTTATCCATTGAATTTGGATGAACTTCGAAGAAGTGCTTAAAGTGACTTTTAGTGTTTTTCAGAGCTTTATTTATAGAATAGATTTCCACACAAAAAGGGAGTCATTTTTTTGTAGATTAGACCACCATTGGAGTGGGCGGCCACTATAGTGAGAGGGTGGTGAATCTTTGTGATTATGAGTGTTTTAGAGTCTTGTGTGAGTCTATTGGAGTCAAGGAAAAGCGAGGAACTTTAGAGGATTTCTTGGAGAAGGGTTTGAGATAAGTATTTGTACTTTCTATTAAGTTTTGGTTTGTGATATTGAGTTTTAATATATATTATGTTTTATTGTGTTATCTTCATGAATTCTGAGTAGTTTTCATTTTCTTTATCCTTATAATAAGAATTAATCATGTGGAGGAGTTGATTTATTTAAAACTTTCTTTATTCTAAAATTGTGAAGGTATTTTTACCAGTTCTTTATTTACTTTGGAAACTGGCCATTTGTAATGTTAAAATCTGTTGTGAAACATAAAGATTCAAAGGGCTATGATTTCCCTTAATTAGTGAATACCACATTAACCTTTAGGATGTGAGGGGACTCAATCCATTGCTTAGTGCAAATAGATAGGAAGATAAGATTTGATGGGAGTAGAATTGAGATTTCTAGGGTGAAATGCAATATTCTTAACAAATTTGGTCTAGTGTTGGATCTTGAGGTCTGGTTAGTTCTAAAAAGAGGGCACAGTAGGCAATTTAAAGGTGATAGGCTAAAATCTACCCAACATAACCATACAATCAGTAACTTAGATTAGAGATGGTAAATAATATGTATGCTCCTATTTTTCACAAAACATCATTTAAACCTTAAAATATTTAAATCCCACATTGATTATGAACTCATTTCAAGGGGAAAGAATCTTTACATAATTTGAACTCTTTTACATCTAGTTAGTTTAGAATCTCTTCATTCTCCTTAGTTTAAAATAGAACTTGTAGGAATTTAGAAACTTTATTTTACATCTGAACTTGGTATCTTGTTTCCAAGATTAATTTCATCAGTTTGAAGTGAAAATTTCACTAACTCAATTTAAAGAGTTATAGCTTCTCCGTGAGATTGATACTGGGGTTTTTAAAGAAAATTCTATATTACTTGAAACGATACATATACTTGCGTAGAACCCCAAGTGTAAAAATTATAAATCAAATTCTAAATTCTATAACATATCCATTTTGCACACTAGCCACTGAATATAAATTGAGTCAAGTTATTGACCATCTTTTGGGAACTTAAATAACTACGTAATTGTAGGGTAGGATCAAGTAATTGGTGCGGCATCGGAGATTGAAATTGAATTACACATATTTTCACGCACACATTCTAGGGGGCAATCAAAGACCCTCAATGTTATAGTGTCTTTTAACACCTAATTAGTTTTAAATGTGTTGAAAATCTCAAAAAGTTCATAATATGTGCATTCAGGTCCTCAATGGATAAACCCTTAAAATTAGAGTTTTGGATCATATGTGAAGAATCTATCTTAATTTCGAAATTATTTTTTTTGTATGCTTGACTTCATTATGGCTTGAGGGATCCCATGCATTTTTAGTAATGCGTAGATCTAAAGGCTTTTGCATCATTTCCAATTCATCACCTTCTCCATGATTGACCATCTTAGTCACAACTAAGTGCTTGGATTTATGCTTTTCTCATAATATTCTTAACATCAGGCATTCTACTTCTACGTTGGCAAGATGTGGCTTGCTTTCAACTGACACATTTAATGCAGTTAAGCCTATAAAAAAGATTAATAATAATAAAAATAGCATGAAATAAGGAAAATGAGTTAAAATAAATAAAAGAATACAAAAAAAATATTCCAAATAATGATTTATTGATATAATATCCAAATTATCATGCAATCTTCAATAACAATGACAAAAAAATTGATGTAATTTCTAAGACACACACAAGAGAACGTGGTCATACAGTTAATAAATTGAAAAATTTAGGGTACCATCTCATAGAGTTTGGCTTAATACTTATACTTATTACTGGATCAGGCGAGCAAGAATTGGCATAAAGCTATTTATAAGAAAAAGACTATGCCTAAGTAAAATCAAGTTTGATTTAGAAAAAAATCGGGGTTAGAAGGCTCTAGGGGAAGGATTTCAAATGCTTTGGTCATACCGGTTAATAATTACATCAATGATTTACTTTGATTTAATGGTATCATGGTATGATTAAAAGTGGTTGTTACCTTTCTCTCACATGCTTAGGATTTTTGCTATCTCTCACATAGTTTATCTACTTATCAGTGACATGTTTAATGTGAGAGATGTCATTGCTGCTCTTGGATTGTCAACGTTTGTCTCTAACTCATGGACCATCCAACATTGTGTTTTGAGTCAAGATGATGTATCCTCCAGCCATTAATTTTAGATAGATCTCCTAAGTTCTTAATAACTATCCACACATTTAATAGTTTGCTATAAAATTGAGAAGAAAATGCAATACATAAGGGAAATAAAAATAACAAGTACTTATTATAAACATCAACTAACTAAATAAAGCATAAGGTCCATCCAAACTCGAGAAAGAGGGATTAAATTATGTTTAATAAAATGCTATATAAAATAAACATAACTTAAACATGCTTACAATACATAAGGAGAAGGCCTCACAACCTCTACAGTGTAATCGTCTTCCTCGTCTCACCTCAGCCTCTAAAATCTTCGAATGGCTCTCTCCAAGTCTTCTCCTAAAGAATATTAGAAAAGCTACAACAAAAATTATCTATGGTTCACCAAATAGTCTCTTAATTTGTCCTAAACTATTCTTTACATATAGATATTTTAATCAGCTTCAAAGAAGGCAGGAGATCCAATGAACTCAAATAAAAAGATAGACTTGGAAGCAACAAAAATGCCTCGGCTATAGGCTATACTCTTAAGCCTTCAACTATTTGTTTGGTGCTGCTAGATCAAACAGTTGTATACCTAAAACTAGAGCTTGGGTATTAGATTTGTGCTTAAGCATTCATATATAACAATTGTGTTCCAATCTCGTTGTTTGCGGGGTTATAATCTAGTGCTTGTGCACTTGTTTGGCATTAAGGTGCTGCACTCTCGATTTGGATCCTCCAGCTTGGTTTCTATATGCCTACTTCTTGTGCCTAGCTCTCACGTTGGGGCTTCCATATGGCAGACACGCACTTGGGAGTTTTTTTTTGCGTTGAATAAACCTTCAAACCGTTGAATCCATACGACCAGAATTTTTTTTTGCATACTTTTCTACCATTTTAAGCACTTTTTCATGCACCCACTAGATTTAAAATTAATTTATTAGTGCAACAAAAAATCTCAAATAACATCCAAATATTTATTAATTTAGTAACTCTGGTGCAAATTAAATATGCTTTTATATCACAATTATCAGTACATGTGGACGATTAGTTGGGGTGAATTTCTAATGATTCTCTTAACTTAATTATTTGAAGTTACTTTATGAATATAGAGAGTTGGTGAACCTTTTCTTATTTTGGGTAACCCCCAGGCTAGTTCAAATGAGTATCTAATCTCTCAAGAGAAAGAATGAGCTAGTTGTCGTGATTCCTTGGGCACAAAATCAAGCAAGTCTTCAAACTTCACAACTCTAGATGAGTGACCAAGTAGTGCAACTTCTTATCGAGCAAGTTTGATCTGACCAAACAATCATTCGCCCTTTAAGTGAGCCTCTAGTGTATTGTGTTTTTTACTAAGACGTATATCTTGGGCATACAATTAGTGGAGAAAAATAGAATATTAAAAAGTAAATCAACATCAAATGAATAACATATGTATATTTTAGCACTTTGAAATATTATATAAAGAATAATATAATAGAGAAGTTTCTTATGTGTGATGCAATAAAATTTTCCACAAGACATTTTTAGCATATCCTCCCACCGGCCATCTTCGAATAGGCGTGGCACTCACCACCGTGTTTCTGTTCTGTATCGGGCAGCGGAACATCGATGATAAAATTGAATCAATGATTCATCTGTAAATTGCTAAAAAACTTCGTCTGTTCCGGTAAACGGAAACAAAAAACAAGATAGGGGTTAGATGGATAAAATGAAGAATAATCGTATTCGCTGAGCGATCTTCCTAGTTTTGGTGACCTCTCCCTCTCCGGTATTGTGTTTCACGGCTGCATCGTTTTTCTGCCCTTTCTACGTATCGCAGACGGGACGAGTTGAATTCATTTACCCTTCGATTACCTCTACCTCTACCGCCTGAAGGCCTACTTGACACCCAAATCCTTGTTCTCCGACGATCCATCTGAGCCACCTATTGATGTCGGCGGTTTCATGTCCTCCTTCACCAGCCCTCTCCATCCCGCTGCTTCGGATTTCCTCCATGTTTTTGTAAATACTCATCTAGTTTTTCTAGGGTCCAGCTTTGGGTTTGTGATGCTCGACTGCGCTATCTAGGGTATTGTAAAGCTTTCTTTTTCAATTAGAAAGGGTTTTCGTGGTGCAGACATATTTGTTTTTCTCAAATAGAACGTCTTTTACAATTCCAGTTCAGGGAACTAGTGTCCGTTTTTATAGTTCCATTTTTTTTTCTCATGAAAAGCTAGGTTTCGAAGGGTTTGGTTTGTTTCTCGCTTATTTCTCGCTTATCAAGCTGTCATTTAGTAGCTGAGCGCTAGTGACTCCGTGGATGAGTTTGGAGAATGAGGGTCAATTGTCGCTGCGATCCCCGATGGGAAGCAGCGCCCCTGTATCGGATCAGAAGTAAGCGATTCTAATTATCTTTCATTATTTTATTGAATACATTGGCGAAGTCATCTTCTTCTGCTTCTAAGTTGGCTCGTTTTGGATCTAGGAAGCCGAGAATTAGCTATACTAGGGAATTTTTTTTGTCTTTGAGTGAATTGGATGTTTGCAAGAAGTTACCTGGTGGATTTGACAAATCAATTCTGAGGTTTGTTTTCTGTTTTCGTATTCGAATTGTTCCTTGTTGAGTTTTATCCGTCGTAGTCGGCCATACACACTTTTCTTTTTCTTCTGGGCAGTGATCTTGAAGACGCTGCTAATACTGCGTCTGAGCGGCAAAGAAGTTTTGGCAACTTATCTTTGCAGGGTTCAAGGAGGGGAGATTATGGTTCGCAATTGCTGAATAAGCCAGAAAATTCAAACATTTATACAAAAGGGATCTCCTCAAGGTGGGATACTCGGTCATCGGGATCAAGTGACAGGGAATTAGACTTGCAGTCTGACCGTGAATCCTTTGCTAAAGGTCTGTTTAATTTGCCTTACCTTGGTCTTCCATCTTTTTTGGTGGGTTTTTTT